TTATAATAATATGTAAACATGGATATATGAATATACACTCCCCCCCCTTGCATTAAGCCATCTAGCTAAGGCCCAACCTCGTACCCAGGGTTTATTACCTACGCTCCCTGGAGGTAAGGGGCAACCGGGAAAGGAACCTCAAATTTTGAACAGTCCCAGGAATGTATTTCGGATGGTGCTCAAATTCGTCCAGTTTCCTTGTTTTAATGCAAAGAACAGGTCACATTTTTCATCCTTTCGCCAACGGTTCGTCAGGTCTCGTGTAACGTTGCCGAAAGACGGTGTTACCCTATGCAGGGTCGTAATCAGATAATTGGGGGGGGGGGTGTTTATTCATATATTCAGTTCAGCCCGACGGATTTCTTTTGTAAGTGCAATAGCTTACAATGGAAATGTGTCGGGCAGAATTGAATATATGAATAAACACCCCCAATTATCGTTCTAATTACGGCCCTGACCCTATAAAACTTTCCTTGCAACTTGCAATGGAATTTTACTGCTCAGTGAGAGAGACAATTAAGTTCTAGCCGTTTACACGTGTTTTCAACTATATGGAAACGGGCTGGGCAATTTTTCTGGACAAGTTCCACGAGCCTGCATTTTTAATAAATTAGCTACAATAAAACCCGCCCGATTTCCTGGAATATATACAGGTAGTTGCTCAATTCCCCGCTGCACAATTCCTTTTCAATTTTTCCTTAACGGCCGTAGATATGAATAATTTTCCTTGTTTCAAAGTTAGCATGGCTAGCTTTTGAACAAGACACCTTGTCAAGGAAAATTCGCCAATTTTTTCTCGTGGACGCGAGCAATCAAAATTTGTCACGGAAAACTTGTGGAGGAAAACTTTCTTGACTGTAGGCCGGGGTTTTAAAGCCATTTATTTATACAAGGAAAAAGAAGTGGCGACCTTTTTCCCTCGTATACAATTAGCCCTATATTTAAAAAGCGTGTCGTTGTGAAATAGTTATAAACACCTAAGAAAGGTGTCTAGCTGACTAGCTTCGTTAAGACCGACCTTTGAAAGCTTAGAAAATCCGAAAACGAAATTATTAAATTATAAACGTGGTTCTAAGCAAGGCTGCGTCAGCAACTTTAGTAACTAGCCTGTTTTATTATTGAATAATATGAATTGTTTTATAATTTAGGGCCTGTTTATATGATCCCGTCTAGCCGGGACGGGGCAGTTTCCGAGATCCCGCTTGTAATATAAACACTAATTAGTGTTTATATGACCACTTTTCCATCCCGCGTAGGCGGGATCCCGCAAGAAGTGCCGGGATTCCGCTTAGACGGGATCGAAAATTGCCATATAAACACTCCATCCCGCTTGGCCGGGATGATTCGCGATAAACATACATTTGGAGCATGTGTATAATATTGGCATTTTCGTTTTCTACAGTAAAACATGCCGTTAACACAAACAAAACGTTAACACAATAAACGTTACTGCAACGTCAGAATAATTATAACGATCAGATAAACGTGATTGCCAGGATGAATCCAAGGTTCAACCAACGTTGATACAACGTCGTCTAAAATGAATTAGGACAAACAACGTTGTGAGAACGTTGTATTACGGTTTAGTCACGACTTAACCACCAAAATACAACCTTTGGCAAACGTTGAGATAACGTTGTGTGTTAGCTGTATACTATTAGATCGCTGAATTGGTTGATTATGGTCATGTGATATACAGGGTGTCCCAAAAAAAACGAAAACTATTGAAATCACTTATTGTTAAAATTTGAATGCCGTGTTCACGAATTTTAGCCCATGGGGATTTAATGCAACTCAGTAAAATGCTAAATGCTTTGTGTTGCTACAGAAAGGGGACATGTCGAAGGTCATGGTGATTGAAATGCACATTTAAATATTGTTAATAAATATCATTTTCACGTACGAGCAAATTTTACTGCATCATATGCATGCATAAAAATGCTTATGGCAAACATTTATACACCTGTGGGTCCCAACAGAGTGCTTATAGGCATTCAAACTCTAACAATTACATTGTTATGGGTGATTTCAATAGTTTTCGTTTTTTTTGGGACACCCTGTAGTGCGTTCTATTGCTCTCTCCAGAGTGCAATTGTGCATTGCACTCTTAATGGTTTAAGCCAAGCGCATCCGTCAAAATGCTTCTCGCAACCGTGGACCGTGAAAATATTCCTACCACTGCACTCATAAACATTCGTTATTTGTACAGGGTGAATAAAAAAAAACCTGAAATTCAAATTAGCTGCAATGTGTCTGCATGTAATCGGCTGTAATGAGACAGAAGTTGCCTAAAATATCTTATGGGTATACGAAGCATATCAAACAAGTGAACCCATTAATTAACCTTGAACATAAAGTTTGTTCCCTTTGGGAGTTAAAATGCATTCTAAGCTCTGTGATAAAAAAGAACGTGGAATTAGTTCAATTGGTTTAAACACTTTCGCATTAATTAACCATGTCTTGTTGATTGTACACAATGGGAAATGTCAAATTCCAGCCATAAGTTCGCGGCTAACTTGAATCTCAAAGGTGTCAGTTTCTTTTGACTCACACTGTACAGTATTGCATTCAATGACAATAGCGGAGACGTGACGACAAATTAATGAACGTGTTGCATACATGAATATTCGCTTTCTGTTTCATTACAATAGTTTATTCTATATATAAGCAGGATTGGCTGCAATATATACAGAATTTTGCATATCAGAGTCCGAAAACCGTACACGTCCTTTGAAACGAAGACTGCTTTCCTGGAATCGATATTATTCAGTACTTCGCGAGAAAAGAACCGAGACATTGTTTTCTTTGTGATTTACAATACCTTCTCCTTCGACTCTCAAGCAGCCTGTGCATAGTCAATAGAAGCAAAGTAAGGACGTTTAGCACACAATAGATGAATAATGGTAGTTAAACACCGTTTTCTGCTAGTGTTCGTGATATTTTTAGTTCGTTTCAACTCGTTCATCTGCCAAGGTAAGACTTTGATTTACAGTTGTTGTGTGACAAAGCTTCGTACCTGTAAATATTCGCTATATTTGATATAATTTTTTCGCATGGCTAAATCGCATGTATATATCTCAAGCCGTATCGATCTAGCTGCCACCATATCATTGTTGTTCTTCAATTATTAATCACGATTGCATGTTTGTAAGTATCGTTGGTGTTCCGTTCCTGCAATATGGCTTGACACACGGCTGAACTGAATAACTGCGGAACAGCATGACTGATTTCTATAATCTTGATACTAAGATACTAAGCAGTCTAAAGCATGAATAATTATTTGGCACTACAAAGCGATAATTGGTGAAATATTACTGAACAAATGACGGTTAGGGTTATGATTTTTTTTTGGGAATATATTTCATATATTTTGGGAGAATTGTATAGCTTACCACCACGAGACCTCTGTTTGGTTGGAAGCCATCTGATAGTGTAGAAGGCTGTGTAATATCAGTAATATTATTCCTAGGAACATTAGAAAGCGATAACTTGGTGAAGTATTACTGAACAAATGTCGGTTAAGTTGGGATAATTTTTTTAGTACTGTTCTGAATATCACGATCAGTTAGACTACGTTTACACTACTCTGGATCGGTCTGAAAACGGTGCAAAAAAGTATCAAAACGGGGTTGTGTTTACACTGCACCGGAGCGGATTTGTTCGAAAACGTCACGTTTGCCGTAGCGACACGACCACACTTTCTAAACGTGGTCGAACGAAAACGGAGCGCTACACGGCGTTGTGTAAACACTACACCGTTAATATTTCGCCACACTTTTGATACCATTCCGCCACAATGCCTGGCGCGTTGTTGCCGCAATTCAATATAGCGAACAATTCTCGAACAATTTATCAACAAGCACCTTTCTCGCTATCGGCGGTATTGTTTTCATTGTTTTTGCGACCCACGACTACAGATATAAACGTCAAGAAATGTTTCAGAAAGAAATGGCGCAATTTACCGCGAAGAATTTACGATTGTTCATTGTTGACAGCGAAGAACGCTTGTGTGTAAACGCTTACGAGACAGTATCGGAATTCAAACGGAGCAGTGTAAACGCAGTCAAATTCTGCCGTCACTTTCTCGCTCCGGAGCTGTGTAAACTGTAGTCTTAGAAAGTGTGGTCGTGTCGCTACGGCAAAGGTGACTTTTTGGAAAAAAACCCGCTCCGGTGCAGTTTAAACGCAACCCCGTTTTTTGCACCGTTTTCAGACCGATCCGGAGTAGTGTAAACGTAGTCTTAATATGACATAATAGTAATTCACATGTCGTCATTGATTGTCAATTTTTCGTAATTCGGTTTTCATATATCGGATTTCGCACAGCACCGAGTTACAACGAATTACGACTTGTGAATAACGGCAAATTATGTCATAAAAAACCCAGCCATATTTAGCAACATTATCTCGGCATGCATCTAATATGTAAAACTTCACGACCACTCAACGACCACCCACGAAGCTGAGATTTTTTTCAAATACGTACCGTGTACAGAAGACTATGCCCTTGACTGCGACATGAAAGACGAACAGTACTCATTTTATAAAAATATTGCTGTTTCGGATCCTGTCATGCAAATTTGGGGAATTCATATACTTTGGGGGAATTGTTTAGCTTACCACCACGAGTCCTCTGTTCTGTTGGAAGCCATCTGATAGTGTAGAAGGCTGTGTATTAGTAATATTGGTCTCATGAATTCATGAAAGAAGCTCGATCAGTTATTTGCTCAATCCCTTTTCTCAAAAATTACCTCACACATCTCTCTTTCATAAAATTTTCTCTCCAAGAAATTTGATTGCTGAAATTTCACATGTCCAGCGATAAGGAATAAGCAATTCTACTAAATTATATTTTGATTAAAGTTCCAATATTATTGCGTAAGCTGTTCCTTTCTATAGTGTGCCCGGGTGACAAGGAAGAATCTGACTTTTGCTACACGTACATTTCGTATCCCAAAACTCAGTTGGACTGGAACGATGCAGATGCTGAATGCAAAAAAATGGGCGCGCAACTTGTCAGTATTGATGGAGATGAACTTAACGGTTTTATCAATTTAACATTCAGAGAGTCTCCAAATGCTAAATTGTGGATTGGTTTGAAGAGATGTAATATGTTGTGGTGTTATTTGAATAATTACAACGCAACTTATAGCAATTGGCAGAAAGACGAACCAAATAATTTGGGAGGAAGGGAAGACTGTGTTGAAATGCGCAAAGATGGAAGGTGGAATGATGTACCATGTTCTCATAAGAAATCCTTTGTATGTGAAAAACGTAAGATGCATTGATAGAGTTAATTTTGAAGGCACTTTGAAATTTTCTTTAAACTTAACCTTAACTAATTGTCAACTTCCGCACAAACAATAGTTTTGTAGAATTATTCTTAGTCAATTTGTGCATTTAATTCGATATTTCAATTCAAGTATAACATAAAATGAAGGATCTCTCGAAATATGTGGAAACTAAAAAAATCATTTCCACCGCCTAACAAGTGCATACAGCTATCGACGACAATAGCAAATGCTCAGTTAAACATATAACTATTTAGATATGATAACGCAATCGAAAATAATCGCTAAGATTGGGAAACTAAACAATAAGGTAAGATGTATTTTTCATAATTATAAATCAGTTAAACGTAGTAGGGGAAGCTAATTTAGACATATACTTCATTTTTTAATACAGACTTCTGTGATTTTATGGCAAATGCATACTGCAGTTTCGGTTTTACTTTTAGTCTCGTTTTTGTTCAGTCTTTCAATTTTTCGAATAAGTCTTTTAGATCACAATACAAACTAATGAAACTACACCGTCTTCACTGGCGACCCTCGTCATCTTGGCAAATACAAGGATCCAAGTTGGCTGACAGATTACTGAATTATATTTGTCGCTATTTTTCAGGCTAAGTCAATCAGAATGGTTAAGTGTTAAATACGTCCTGTAAAATGTTAAATAAGGTACCTTTTACGGGAAGTAGTAAATATTTAAGCATTTTGACTGTTTCCTAAAAATATAAACAAATTTGCTAATTGGTCTTAAAAGAATATCCCCTGGGTTGCCGATAGAAATAAATATTGTAGTCGAATTCTGTCATCTGCTCTTTTTCACGGTTCGGCCCGTGTTCCCTCTACTCATTTCCAATACTTCGATCGACCCTGCACTAAACTGGAGGAAATCAGTGGAACGCAAGAACTATTACTGTTTTAAACAAGTTAAGCGTACTGTAAAATCCTCTAAAATCCCACTTTTTCTAAACTGGGTAATTCAATTTTTAGGTTGACGAACTTTATAGTGAGGAAGTATCAGATGAAGTACGAAAAGAACGTGCACATGAGATTATAAACGAACTGACAGAGTTCACAGATCTTGATAAAGTGGCGGTAGGAGAGAATGGCGCTGATACAAAAATTCTTAGTTACACAGTTGATATACTTCGAAAAATCGTAAACTTAAATATTTCTGATGGCAGCCTTAAAATATTAGAGCCTGCCAGCAATATATTGGATGAGAGAAATGATAAATCATAGAAAAATATTTCGGTGAGTTTCCTGTTGAAAGAGATCAACAGACTAACAAAAATACTTTATTATCGAGCAATAACAGTTTGAGAACTTGTGTTTTCGGTGTTTTCAAAGTTCTCGCAACATCTGTATGCAAAGGTCATGCACGCTATCCTGGTTATTCTAACTGTCGATTGATTTTAGAGTTAATTGAGTCGTCGTTATTACCTGGTAGATTTTCCTCCCAACCGTAAATATTCTTATTCTAGGATAGAAATGTAATTCCAGATCTGGTAACAACGTTGGAAAATTATGGACTCCAATATGGGGAGGAGATAAGAAACAACACGAATGGTTCCATAAGTCAAAACAGTTCAAACGTACAGTTACGAGTCAGATACATGGAAAACACAGGGAATTTTACGCTTGTGGACAGACGTACAAATTTCCCCAATGCATCCTTAATCATCTCGTCTGATACAATCCCTGAAGAATCTGGAAGTCTTGCTGTTGTCGTGTGGTACAAGACATTAAATTCATTTCTTGGAGAGAAATTTCACACCAGCGATGATCATGTGAAAGTAAACAATAAGATAATCACTGCAAGTGTCCGACCTCAGTCAAAGATGCTAAGTTTTACCCAGCCTGTGCAGATCATTTGGGACGGAAATGGAAAGGTAAAAAAATATTTTTTTAAAGTTAGATGGTCGCTAAAATCCCTGCGAAAAAAACTCCGTTTGATATTTCACAGTACAGACCGAACAGTCGGCTGGTCAACAATTAACCGGTTTATTATATGGCTGAACTGCTTGACACATTCGGGACTCTGGTCCAGATACGGAATATACGGACCACAGTGCGAATATGGGTTTTGCGGAACGCTCGTCAACCAATGAGAATGGAGGATTTCGAAAAGCCATATAAAAATCAACCATACTTACGCCAATATTCACGCCCATAAATTTGTCATTTCATGGCGATTGTCATTACTAGTAATTAACCAGATATATGACGTAATAAGATCACGGGAAATAAACTTTTCGATGGCATCCTGATTTTAACTTTTAGAATAACGATGAAAAATGCGCATACTGGATACCAGAGTCGGGTGAAAATAGGTGGAAGACAGATGGCTGTATCAAAGTCGAAGACCAGTCAGGCAGAAATCGCTTGATATGTGAGTGCAACCACCTCACAGCATTTGCTACAATCGACATTTCAAGAAATTTGGTAAGGTTCAAATAAATATAGAGATTGTTAACTTGAAATCCCCCTCACCTAATGATTTATAGATTCGGCTCACGAATTTGACCAGATGCAACGGTGAACAATTTTCTCCTACAGATAAAAATTGAAAATTACATTCAAACAGGATCTTCCCAGACTTTGCACGCCACTCATGACCATTAAAATTGCGTATTTGTTTCCGTATATTTATCATGTAAATCTATTTGTTTAAGCTAAGCAAAGCTGAGAGAAAGGCTTTGGAGGTAATATCTACCATTGGCTGTTCAATATCATTAGTTGGAGTGTTGCTAACCATAGCAACATACGCTTTACTCTGGAAGAGTCTTCATAAGAATGTCAAGACCAATATTCCATCCCAGGTCCTCTTAAATCTCTGTGTTGCGATTGGAATGACAGATATATTTGCTATCGTAGCTGGACCAGCGCAGAAAAATGAGGTTCTTTTAGTTCTAATTTTTTTCATTTGGCCTGTTTGCATGCAGGCAATGTAAACTATCATGCATCAATCCTGTTTTTTTTTCAATTTTAGACATTTTGCATAGTTATCTCCATACTACTTTATTTCTTCATACTCGCTATTTTTGGCTGGATGTTTTGCGAAGGAATCGTCATTTATTTACAACTCGTAAACGTGTATTCAGGCTTGGCTTTGGGAGGTAAACACCTGAAGGCCTTCTACGTGATTGGTTGGGGTAAGCTGTAGTTTCCAATTTTTTTAAAAATCCTATTCTTTTGTAGAAGTATTTTATTCAATTTTATCTCTCATTACCTCGGTCAAAGGTGTCGGAAAGTCTATAGGTGGGCGGTAATTTCACACGACATTAGTTTTGACCAATCGCCTTTACAAATGACTTGCAGTTTTAAAATGACGGGTGTATCGGCGTCCCCCTAATTTATTTCAAAGTGTTACCTAGTCATCTGATCGCGAATTAGAATTTTCGTCTTATATAGTCGATATAGTCTAACAAAACTGTTTTGCTCAATACTTTTGCTCAATAATGCCATTAGTTATTCTTGTTTAGGAGTTCCGGTTGTCCTTGTCCCTATATTAGTCGGTGCAAATGATCGAAAAGATTTTATAACCGATCGTGCCTGCTGGTGCCGTGGTGATGGTGCGTTGTTTTGGACATTTGTCTGTACAATAATCCTGGTCATACTGGTGAGTGTAAGAGGCAATTCTCCACACAGTATATTCCTGATAAAAGACGATTAAAAGAAAATCATCGTTTAGGATTACTCGCAAGATATCCTTATGACAGTTTTTTTTCTCTAGATCAACTTTGTTATTTTCGTTCTGGCGTTAAGAAGTGCTTTATCCTCCAGCCAAATAAGAACCGCTCATTCAGAAGCTGACACAAAGCTGAGAAAAGCAAAAATTGGTGTCAAAGGTTCAGCCATCCTTTTTCCAATACTTGGACTAACCTGGGTGTTTGCTTTGTTGGTGTTCAATCGTGATGCAATTTTCTTTAAATGTCTTTTCGGGATATTTAACTCTCTCCAAGGCCTAATGATATTCGTTTTTCACGTGCTGATAAATAAAAAGGTATGGTTTGAATTATCACCATAGAGTCATATTTCATATTTTTACACAAGGTTTGAACCTTTATATACTCAGAACTCAACTCAGTGATAAATTAGTAGCAGGCTTTTTGTATTTAATACCATGCACTTTGTTAAACACCCTCTATTAACTGCGTTCAGTTTAGACTGCATTCAGGCATTTGAATTTAAATTTTCGTGTGTCCCTATAAGACCCGTAGAATATCTTGTGAGTTGGATTTTCTGAAACCACTTATTCAACTTGCAAAAACTAAGAATATTTTATACCTCTTTCGCATGAAAAAATTACTTGCTACTTTTTTTCAGGTTCATGACGCAATCAGCAGTGTAAAGAAAGCCAGAAATGCAAGGGACACCAATGCCAAAGTCGGTAAGTAATAAAACGACTCATTAAAATAATTTTTTTAGTAGATTAAGAAGAAAGATATTGGGATAAAAGAAAAAATCTGAAATACCAAGAGAAGAATGAGTAGCATTAATTACGCTTTTTCGGCAATAAAGCAGTTTTTAGTTTAACGTGGCCCTTTTTCCGAGTGCAGGATCTGATAGGATACTTCAGGATGGAACTACTTCGTGTTTTAATGAAACACGTTTTATTTAAACTCTTATTCATATAGCTGAATAGCAACTTAATAAAATTAATAGCAACTAGATATCTAAATTTTAAATTTTGTTTGAATGAGTATATTAATGAATGAACAGATGCTTCGGTATTGATTCCGTCATTTCTTTCCAATTACTTTGTGTAGCTTTAACTGTTGCAACAACTGTAACCAGCTCTACCAAATCAAAAATTCCAACAGTCTCTGTTTTCGTGGAACAGGACAACAAATCACTGAATGGCGAAAAGTTCATTCTCACTCCTTTAAGATCTTAGTGAGTGGAAACAATTTATTACTCGATCACATTTTATATAGTTATGTTGACGTTTTAATATGTATGTTTCATATAACCTAATTCGCACCCTGCGCGCACAGGAAGGTCTAAATAGCGACAAACACAAACGATTATTGATCATCATGAGTATTCAGTGTAGTGTTTTTTATGCACCTATAGTAGTAAAAGATTTTTTGTAAGTAAAACTAAACGTTAGTTTTACAATTTAACCAGTTATAACAAACCCTATTTGAATGTTTACATTTGTCGATCGGCCAGGCTACCTGTGTAAAAATTGTTTTTCAAAGTGGTTTAACAAACTTTATAATTATAGGCAATGAGCAGTATATAAACCAAAGTTACAGCCTAGGCGATAATGATTTCTCGCAACAATGAAACATTTAGCCTTAATATTGGGTCACTGCATTCCCAATCATGCAATGGTGTATAAAAAGAGAAGAAAATAATAATATTGTGAAATGTGAGTGAATTTCCGAACGACCTTTTCGCCTTCTCAAGTCATTTACATTAAGATAGGTTAGCTACGTTTATGGGTGTCAAGTTTATTGTATAACTAAAAAAAGTTAATAATTTTATACAGTGGAATGAAACGTGACACGTTTTAAAACTAAACCTGAAAAGCTGGGTTGTATTTTAAAGTACAGCTGTACACGACTCTCGGTCTCTCAGAAGAACAATTAAGTAATTTTCGAACCAATAACCGCCGGTTTTCCTGCAACACAATTATGTCGAGTCCTTTGTGGTTTTAGTGCGTTTAAGATTTTATTGCATAGAAATCCATTGGTCTACGAAGAAGCTGTACAAGCAAGCCCTGTCACAAAGCAAAAAAAATGCGTTTGGAAAGATGCGTCTGCCAAGGCAGGATTTCAGTCAGCTGTTAAAATAAACAAATATATGTTTGATATAGTACGCGCTAGATTTGACATAAGCATGGCAATAAAGATGCAATACATTATGGCGTGATAACAAATAAACAGAGAACATTTGACGTTTTTCTTCGTTTCGAAACTAGTACAAACTATATCTTGAAGTTAAGGAGATGTTTATAGAGACATAGAAAGCAAAATATTGTTAGCTGGTTGTTCAAAATAAATGTCGTGTGGACATAATAAATGTTGCGTTACGCCATTTGTAAACATACCCGCTGAGAATTTGCTTTTATCCGTTAAATTATACCCAAATCTGGACCCTAAAGATGAAACTAAACACGAATTTAGTTTTTTTTAGTTTCTTTAGCCACATAGTTTGAAAGATTATGTAATAACGATGAAAGCCGATGCATGTTTTTTAACAGATCACGTAGTTTGCTCCCCTCCCTCTCAATGGCGGAAAAAAGCTTTCAATAATTAAACGGGCGTCGCGAACAAAATGTTTACATTTTAAGCATCAACGCCGAGACACACCGTCGCCAACGCGAGCGCCTTTGTTTTAAGCAAAGTAGGGAAGTTTTTCACACAATAGATGAAAAATGGGAGTTAAACACCGATTTCTGCTAGTTTTTATGATATTTCTAGTTCGTTTCAACTCGTTTATCTGCCAAGGTAAGACTGATTGACAGTTGTTGTGTGGCAAAGCCTCATTGCTGTCAATATCCGCTATATTTGATATAAATTATTCGCGTAACTAAATCGCATGTAAATCTCATTTGTTATGTAATTATTTTTATACGCTCTTAAGCCGTATCGATCTAGCTGCAACTATTTCAGTGCTGCAACTATTTCAGTTTGTTTGGTGTCCCGTTCCTGTCATATGTCTTGATACACGCGTCAATACAGAACTGCATGACACTTTCGATTTCTATGATCTTGATGCTAAGCATGAATAATTTTTTGACACTAAAAAACGATAACTTGGTCAAATATTAAACAAATACCATTGTAATTCACATGTCTTCATTCGTTTTGAATTTGTTGTAATTCGGTTTTCATACAACACCGAATTACAACGAATTACGACATCTGAATAACGGCAAATGATGTGATATAAAAACCAGCCATATTTAGCAACATGATTAGCTCAGCATGTGCATAAGGAGTTTCTGCGAATATTCATGCAAATTTCACAACTACTCAACGACCACCCACGGGCGGAGATGTTTTCAAATACGTACTGTGTACAGACTACCTTTGACTGCAGCAGAAAAGACGAACAGTATTAATTTGATAAAAATATTACTGCTTCCAATCCTGCGATATTTTATTGTTTGCAACATTTCATATATATTTTTCGCGAATTGCATAGCTTACAACGAGACCTCTTGGGTATTTGCGTCAGTAAACACTTCAAACAGACTAATTCGAGCACGGTGCCAAGTTCGTCCTGTCTCGTGTGAACGTAGCCGAAATACGGTGTTACGCTATGAAACTTTCCTTGCAACTTGCAATGCAATTCTACCCCTGAGTGAGAGAAACACAACACGTCATCGTAAACACATAGAAAAGACGTGCACGTGAATGGTTTGACGTGCAAGCCATTTATTTATATACGAGGAAAAATAAGTCGTGACCTTTTCCCCTCGTATATACTTTTATAGGGCTCATTATTCAAAAATGTATGAAATGCTATTGCTATATTTAAAAAGCGTGTCGTTGTGAAATAGTTATAAACACCTAAGAAAGGTGCTAGCTGACTAGCGTCGTTAAGACCAACCTTTGAAAGCCTGAAAAATCGGAAAACGAAGTTGTTAAACTATAAACGTGTTTCGAAACAAGGCTGCGTCAGCGACTTTAGTAACTAGCCTGTTCTATTATTGAATGATGTAAATTTTTCTATAATTAATTAGGTAATAATACAATATTACGATGCAATACACTTATAATTGACATCATATTATATGCGAACGTTAATCTCAACTTTCAACCAACGTTGCCACAACGTGGCAATGTAACGTTGTTACAACGAACAATATCGCCTGTAGGTCAAACGTTAACACAAACGTTACTGCAACGTCAGAATATAACGATCAGATAAACGTGATTGCCAGGATGAATCCAACGTTCAACCAACGTTGATACAACGTGGTCTAAAATGATAGAACAATAAAAACGTTGTGAGAACGTTGTAACAAGGTTTAGTCACGACTTAACCAAAATACAACCTTTAGTCAACGTTGGGATAACGTTGTGTGTAATACAGGGTGTCTAAAAAAACGCAACACTTAAAATATGCAAGAACATTAATACAGCTCTGAAGCGCAATACATAAGCACCTCTGGGAATTGAAAATGGCTCTTAATCCTTCATTTGAAATGCTAAAAGTAATTTTAGCTGAACTATGGTGCAAACCCGAACAATAATAATATTCTTGCATATTTAAGTGTTGCGTTTTTTTGAGACACCCTGTACACTGTATAATATTAGATCGTTTAATTGGTTGATGATGGTCATGTGATATTGAATAGAAATGTGCGTTCCATTGTGCACTCTCCAGAGTGCAATTGTACTACACAATTTTCCATAGCACTCTTTAGTCTTTAAGCTTTAAATGAATCCCATCCGTCAAAATGCTTCTCGCAACCGTGGACCGTGGTCGCAATTTATTAACATTTCTCACCTCGTGAAAATATTCTTACCACTCCTAAACATTCATTATAGTATTCAATGACAATAGCAGAGAGGTGATGACAAGTTAATGAACGTGTTGCATACAGGCCGGGAGGATCTTGTCTAAAAGTACATACGAGTGACCACGAGTGTCCACGGATGACCACGAGTGACCACGGATGACCACGAATGACCACAAGTGATTTTTTTAGGTTGGCTATCTATAAAATTGGAGAACAGTTAAAACGAAAAATAGGGAAAGCTTGCTTGATTTAAGATTTGGTTTTAATTTTATACTCCAATTTTATAGATAGCCAATCCAAAAAAATCACTTGTGGTCATTCGTGGTCATCCGTGGTCACTCGTTGTCACTCGTGGTCACTCGTGATCACTCGTATGTACTTTTAGACAAGATCGGCCGGGAGTGTAAACGAAGTGAAATATTTATGAATATTCGCTTTCTGTTTCATAATAATATTATGTATAAGCAGGAGTTGCTGCAATATATACAGAATTTTGGATATCAGATTAACTGTACACGTTCTTTGAAACGAAGACTGTTTTCCTGGAATCGATATTTTTGCGCAGTGCATCGCAAGTAAAGGACCGAGACATTATTTTCTTTGTGATTTGTATACAATACCTTCGGGTCTCGGTTCGATGAGTCTCAAGCAGCCTGTGTATAGTCTATAGAAGCAAAGTACGGAAGTTTAATTGGCACACAATAAATCAAAAATGGTAGTTAAACACCGATTCCTGCTTGTCTTCATAGCTTGTTTACTTAGTCTCAACTCGTGCATCTGCCAAGGTAAGGGATGGACTGACAGTTGTTGTGTGACAAAGCTTCATACCTGTAAATATTTGCTATAGCTATATGATATAATTTATTCGCATGGCTACGTCGCATGTATATCTCATTTGTTATGTAATTATTTTTATACACAAGCCGTATCGATCTAGCTGCCACCATATCAATGTTGTTCTTAAATTATTGATCTGGATTGCATGTTTGTATTAAGTATCGTTGGTGTTCCGTTCCTACGATAGGGCTTGGCGACACGGCTCAACTGAATGACTGCGGAACAGCATGACACTTTGATTTCTATAATCTTGATACCAAGCAGTCTAAATAATTATTTGGCACTAGAAAGCGATAATTTGATGAACTATTACTGAACAAATGCTGGTCAGGGTTGTGATAATTGTTTTAGCACAGTTCTGAATATCACGATAATTTATTCTTCTTTTACAGAGTCACTTTGATTAGCTCGTTCCGCTTCACACGTAGTTATGCCTGCATGCTTTAATTTCACATAATAGTAATTCACATGTCGTCATTGATGGTCAATTTTTTGTAATTCGGTTTTCATGTATCGGATTTCGCACAACACCGAGTTACAACGAATTACGACATGGAAATAAAGCCGGTTTTCCATTAGCGATATTTTTCGCGCGAAGCGACTTTATTCCTTTGTATTTGAGCAATTTGTTCCAGATGGTTGCAGTTGAGAGCTCTGAAACAAAAGTAAAATGTCGCTTAGCGCGAAAAATATCGCTAGTGGAAAACCGGCTTAACGGCAAATTATGTCATATAAAAACCAGCCATATTTAGCAATCGGTCAAACTTCACGACCACTTAACGACCACCCACGAAGCTAAGATTTTTTTCAAATACGTACCGTGTACGGAAGACTGCCCTTGACTGCGACATGAAAGACGAGCAGTATTCATTTTATAAAAATATTGCTGTTTCGGATCCTGTAAATTTTTATGGTATTTTAACTACAGTTGTTTCAAATTTAATTGCTTTTCCATTGCAAACTTAGTCTAAAAAATGGCACTAAAATTATTCTCAGGAACAAAGTAAATACTACAATAATTATTCAAGTTTCATTACTTAATTCTTATACAATTCCACGAAGCAATCGTTTCTGCGAATTCTGCCTGCGAATCCTTGGATCAAGAAACGATCCAAAAACCTTTTGATGCCATGATCTCTAGAGCACATAGGTACAATCAGGCCCCAAAACACGTTTTTCCTGATGAATAAATTAGTTTTTGTACATATAAAAGGGGTATTATTTTAGCAAGAATAAAAACAATTAACCAACTAAATCTAATTTGATGTGCCGATTTATGCTAATTTTCTTTATTTTCAAAAACGGTAGTTCAACTTTGAATTTCGATTGGGGCGACAATAGATCACCGAAAATTAAATGTAAGATATTAAAATCTAAGTTAGCTCTTTCTACATTCAATGGGGTTTATTCTAGCACTATATAGCTTTTATAATTTTTACGTTGTATGATTTCAAATATGCAAAGTTTCTTTTGGGACACCCGGTAGAATATCTTTATATTGTTGAGAACAGTTATTTTATTGTAATTGAACATTTAAATTAGTGTCAACTTGTCGTTATGACGTTAGACAAGCTGACGTAAGCACTTGATATAGCGGCTTGTTTTTAGATGTCTTTGGACAAAAACACTGTGTATCTTCGCAGCTTAATTTAAACTCGTTATTAACAATCAAATAGATCATCTCTTAACAATATATAGAGCTCTCTGATAGACTGATACTTTTTTGGAGAAAAAGAGTTGAAGAATCCAAATCTAACACATTCACAGGCGTAATGTATTATTATAGCGTCATATGTTTACACTACATATTTTGAATGAACCAAAGATGACACTAATGAAGGACTGTTTAAAACGTCTTGTAATTATAGATTTATAAAGGTAAATTATAAGTTTGTGTTTAAAACTTATATGCTGAAAGATATGCTGTCAATCAGCCAGAATATTATGCGGATAATGAACGCGTCAAATATTTTTTTGAGAATATTTTTAAGTTTTAGCGCGAAAATTAGCTCGACCCATGCCACTCTCCAAAAATGAAAGGGTGGTTTGCTAGATGGAAAATAGTGCTAACCTACAAAAGGAGCACGCAATTAATATACAAAAGTACTTGAGGAAGTTCGACCAGTTATTTCCTCCAACCCTTTTCTACCTGCCACATCTTTCTTTCATAAAATTTTCTCTCCAAGAAATTTGAAATTTGATTGCTGAAATTTCACAGGTTCTGCGATAAAGAATAAGGAATTCTACTTAATTATATTTTGATTAAAATTGCAATATTATGGAGTAAGTTGTTCCTTTCTATAGTGTGTTCGGGTGACAAGATAGAGTCTGACTTCTGCTACACGTACATTTCGCCTTCCGATCCCAAACGCCAGTTGAACTGGGACGATGCAGATGCCGAATGCAAAAAAATGAACGCGCAACTTGTGACCATTGACGGAGATGAACTTAACGATTTTATCAATTCAACATTCAGAGAGTCTGTAAATGCTGAATTGTGGATTGGTTTGAAGAAATGTGGTAGCTCGTGGTGTTATTTTAATAATTACACGGCAGCCTATAGCAATTGGGACGAGGACGAACCAAGTAATTTCGGAGGAATTGAAGACTGTGTTGCAATGCAAAAAGATGGAAAGTGGAATGATGTACCATGTTATCATACGAAATCTTTCGTATGTGAAAAACGTAGGATGCATTGATAGGAGTGAATTTTTATGGCACTTTGGCTTTATTGGCAATTTAAATTTCTTTACACTTAACTAATGCGAATTAATGCCATTGGTCAACTTCCGCACAAAATAATAGTTTTGTACAATTAATTTGTTATATATAATTTGATATTTCAATTCAAGTATAACATAGAATGAAGGATCTCTCGAAATACGCGGAGACTAAAAAATCATTTCCACCGCCTAACAAATGCATGAGAACTTTATTAAAGTGCTGAGCTCAACATATAACTATTTAGACATGATAACACAAAAGGAAATCATTGCGAAGATAGGGGAACTAAACAAGCAGGTAAGATGTATATTTTATATAAATCAGTTAAACCATAGACAATCCAGAAGACAGGGACTGGAAACGCAAGCTAAAACACTTATAATGCTGACGCGCCATCCGTGATATGGCTTTATCACGTCAATTTTTAAGTTGCTACGCAACCGGGCTCTTTATTCAGAAAAAATAATGCAAAGTAGATCCAGCAAAAGTTTGCATATTTTGAAGGATTTTTTAAATATAAATACTATATTTCTACCTGACCTTTAAGTCAGATACATTTTCAAGGTAAGTGCGTTATCATTTTTCATCTTGAGTGTAAACAGGGCTCATAGTTTCAGTTCCAAAAGTGTTTGCATCAAAAATATACGCACGTAAAAGCTAGGTAGTTTTTTGGGACCCTGTAACTTGAAATTAAAACTATAAATTTTCTTTGACAACATAAAAATAGCATCTTATATTACAAAAGAATGCATTAGGACAGCGACTGCAACTTGTAACTACATGCAGACTAGTGTGTGAGCCCGACAGTAAGAACCTTTTTCAGTCTCTACCACAAAAGGACCGCCATGTATGCACCATTAATTTGTACACCGTAACTACAATTTTGATAAATTGAGAAACTTTGTCTTACATTGTGTAAACAAAATAATACAGGGTATACATCTATTACCTTTTTCAGCCTCTTTTTGCGCTTGAAAAGCTAAGAATCGCCAATAACTTCATGCGTCGTGTTTTGATGTCAAAATGTCACTTTTTTGTTCTCGTAGAATATGTAACTAGTTGGGACCCTATAAAATCACTTTGACCCACTTTCAGAGGGTCGTTTTTATATATTTCACACAATAAATCAACTAACTGTGCACTTATCGCATTTTCCAACATCGTCTTATATTAAAAAAGTGAAATTATCATAAAAAACTGCGTGCATTGTATTTTTTGCTAAACCGAGTGTCGCCATTGTTTTCCTCGAAATATGTGCCTAGTAAATGACTTTTGGGCAAGTTTTAGAGCCCCATTTGAAGATAGTTTAAACAAAAAACAATAAACTGTTAACTTATTGCTTTTACCAACATATTCTTTGCGTTTTTGAAGCTACAAATCACCAAATAACTGCGTGCGTTGTCTTTTTGCTGAGAAGTGTCTCCATTATTGTTTTCGAAAATGGAGTTCTACATGAGCCCGCAAAATATGCCGGCCGTATCATGGAGAGCGCACGCGAAAACAATAGCGTTTCCAGTCCCTGTCTTCTGGATTGTCTATGGTTAAACGTTGTAGGGAAAGCTAATTTAGACATATATTTCCCTTTCTATTACAAACTTCTGTGGTTGTATGGCTAATGCATACTGTGGTTTCGGTTGTAATTTTAGTCTCGTCTTTGTTCAGTCTTTCGCTTTCTTGAATAAGTCTTTTAGATCACAACACGAACTAATGAAACTACACTGTCTTCACTGGCGACCCTCGCCATCTTGGCGAATACAAGGATCCAAGATGGCTGACAGATTACTTAATTAGGGTTGCGAATGAGGATTCAAACTAATCAGTGTATTTGTTACTATTTTTCAGGCTAAGCCAATCAGAATGCTTGAATGTAAATACTTCATTTAAAATGTTATATTAGGTGCCTTTTACGGGAAGTAGTCAATATTTATGCATTTTGACTGTTTTCTGAAAATGTAAACGAAATTTGTAATTGGTCTTAAAAGAATATCCCCTGGGTTGCAGATAGAAATAAATATTGTAGTCGAATTCTGCCATCTGCTCTTTTTCACGGTTCGGCCCATGTTATCTCTCCTCACTTTCAATACTTCGACCATGCACTAAACTATGGAAGAAAGCAGTGATACGCAGGAACTATTACTTTTTTAGACATATGAAGCGTACTGTAAGATCCTCTAAAATCCCACACTTTTCTAAACTGGGTAATTCAATTTTTTATAGGTGGACGAACTTTATAGTGAGGAAATATCAAATGAAGTACGAAAAGAACGTGCACAAGAGATTATAAAGGAACTGACAGAGCTCACAGATCTTGATAAAGTGGCGGGAGGAGAAAATGGCGCTGACAAACAAATTCTTAGTAACACTGTTGAAATACTTCGAAAAATCGTAAACTTAAATATTTCTGATGGCAGCCTTAAAATATTAGAGCCTGCCAGCAATATATTGGATGAGAGAAATGATAAATCATGGAAACATATTTCGGTGAGTTTGCTGTTGAAAGAGATCACCAGACTAACGAAAGTACTTTATTATCGAGCAATAACAGTTTCAGAACTTGTGTTTTCGATGTTTTCAAAGTTCTCGCAGTATCTGTATGCAAAGGTCATGCATGCTATCCTGGTTATTCTAACTGTCGATTGATTTTAGAGCTGATTGAGTTGTTATCACCTGGTAGATTTTCCTCTCAACCGTAAATATGCTTATTCTAGAAAAGAAATGTAATTCCAGATCTAGTAACAACGTTGGAAAATTACGGACACCAAAATGGAAAGGAAATAAGAAACAACACGAATGGTTCCATAAGTCAAAACGCTTCAAACGTACAGTTACGAGTCAGATACATGGAAAACACAGGAAATTTTACGCTTGTGGACAGACGTTCAAATTTCCCCAATGCATCCTTTATCATCTCGTCTGACGCATTCTCTAATAAGTCTGGAAGTCTTGCTGTGGTCGTTTGGTACAAGACATTAAATTCCTTTCTTGGGGAGAAATTTCACACCAGCGATGATTCTGCGATAGTAAACAATAAGATAATCACTGCAAGTGTCCGACCTCAGTCAAAGATGCCAAATTTTACCCAGCCTGTGCAGATCATTTGGGACACAAATGGAAAGGTAAAAAAATCTATTTTTTAAAGTTAAATGGTCGCTAAAATGCCTGCGAAAAAACCTCGGTTGATATTTCACCGTACCGATCGAACAATTAAGAGAGCTCAACAATCAATCGGTTTATTATATGGCTAAACTGCTTGAGACATTCGGGATTCTGGTCCAGACACGGAATATACCGACCACAGTGCGAATATGGGCTTTGCGAAACGCTCATCAACCAATGAGAATGGAAGATTTTAAAAAGCCATATAAAAATCAACCATATTTACGCCAATATTCACGTCCATAAATTTGTCATTTCATGGCGATTGTCATTACTGGTAATTATCCAGATATATGACGTAATAAGATCACGGGAAATAAACTTTTCGATAGCATCCTGGTTTTAACTTTTAGAATAACGATGAAAAATGCGCATACTGGATACCAGAGTCGGGTGAAAATAGGTGGAAGACAGATGGTTGTATTAAAGTCGAAGATCAGTCAGGAAGAAATCGCTTGATATGTGAGTGCAACCACCTTACAGCATTTGCTACAATCGACATTTCAAGAAATTTGGTAAGATTCAAATAAATGTAGAGATTGTTAACTCGAAATCCCCCTCCCGTAATGATTTATAGATTCGGCTCACGAAGTTGACCAGATGCAACGGTGAACACGGTTTCCTCAGTAGCGTAGCCAGAACGATAATTGGGGGGCCCATATTCATATATTCGTGATACGCAGGGTTAATTTCTTTTCAAATCCATTGTCTTTACAGTCTGTTAACAGGAATATATGAATATGGCCCCCTAAATTATCGGTGCTGGCTACGCCACTGGGTTTCCTACACATGCAAATTGAAAATTACATTCAAACAGGATCTTCCCAGACTTTGCACTCCACTCATGACCATTAAAATTGCGTATTTCTTTCCATATATTTATCATGTAAATCTATTTCTTTAAGCTAAGCAAAGCTGAGAGAAAGGCTTTGGAGGTAATATCTACCATAGGCTGTTCAATATCGTTGGTTGGAGTGTTGCTAACGATAGCAACATACGCTTTACTCTGGAAGAATCTTCATAAGAATGTCAAGACAAATATTCCATCCCAGGTCCTCTTAAACCTCTGTGTTGCGATTGGAATGACGGATATATTTGCTATCATAGCTGGACCAGCGCAGAAAAATGAGGTTCTTTTAGTTCTAAATATTTTTTTTCGTTTGGCCTGTTTGCATGCAGGCAATGTAAAGTATATATCATGCACCAATCCTGTTTTTTTTTTCGCTTTTAGACATTTTGCATAGTTATCTCCATACTACTTTATTTCTTCATACTCGCTATTTTTGGCTGGATGTTTTGCGAAGGAATCATCATTTATTTACAACTCGTAAACGTGTACTCGGGCTTGGCTTTGGGAGGTAAACACCTAAAGGCCTTCTACGTGATTGGTTGGGGTAAGCTGTAGTTTCCAATTTTTTTAAAAATCCTATTCATTGGTAGAAGTATTTTACGCAATCTCGGTCAAAGGTGTCAGAAAGTCTAGAGGTGGGCGGCAATTTGACACGACATTAGTTTTGACCAATCCGGTTTAAAAATGACGGGTGTATCGCCGTCCCCCGAATTTTGAATCTTATTCCAAAGTGTTACCTAGTCATCTGATCGCGAATTAGAATTTCGTTTTATATAGTCTATATAGTCTAACAAAACTGTTTTGCTCAATACTTTTTTGCTCAATAATGCCATTAGTTATTCTTGTATAGGAGTTCCGGTTGTCCTTGTCCCTATATTAGTCGGTGCAAATGAGCGAAAAGATTTTATAACCGATCGTGCCTGCTGGTGCCGTGGTGATGGTCCGTTGTTTTGGACATTTGTCTGTACGATAGTCGTGGTCTTACTGGTGAGTATAAAAGGCAATTCTCCACACAGTATATTCCTGATAAAAGATGATTAAAAGAAAATCATCGTTTAAGAATCTCGCAAGATATCGTTATCCATGCTTTTCACAGATCTTATTAAATGCACAATGCTGCTTTATTGGTGATATAATTCAATCTTATCGCGTGGTCAAACAAAATGTAACAAAACTGTACAACGCAGTGAAGATTGGTACTTTGTATACTACTTCTATACGGAACCAAACAAGAACTGTATTAAAAGATGTTCGACAATTACTTTCTTGAATACATGCATGATTGAGAAATTGTGTCAGAATTAGATGCCAGTGATATCAAAATGGCGCACGTTTTATTACCGCTATATGCAAGTCGTTAGTCATTCATTTCTGAAACATAAAAATACAAATTTTCCTATGCGGAAAGTGTGAACTGGGCGAATTATTCAGTCCGAAACCACCCCAAAATTGATCGTGAAATCGGAAAGTTTTAATTTTGTTGCCGAATGTTCAACAATACGAAAAACATCGCCATGGGAAGTTAAATTTTGTATAGGCTACTAATATTGAGGGTGAAAACGTTACCACGTTCCAAAGTTAACCAAATTTGCACCGCTATATTTTTCACAATATTTCACAACCAAACTTTTAGGGATTTCTTTCCATCTATACTGATGAATATTTCTTGTTTTAAATTAATCTGAATAGGAAATTGGTCCATTGACACAACTAATATTCTTTAAGTATGATCCGTCCCTAATAAATAGAGGTATTCCCTGTTTCTTTTAGAATGCGATGGTAATAATTCTGAACACTATTTATTTCGAATTAATAATGTCAATAACATAAAATTTGCATAGCATGACTAAGTCGTCAGGCTGGCTACGCTATTGGTATTAATGATAGTTTTTTTCTCTAGATCAACTTGGTTATTTTCGTTTTGGCGTTAAGAAATGCTTTATCCTCCAGCCAAATAAGAACCGCTCATTCAGAAGCTGACACAAAGCTGAGAAAAGCAAAAATTGGCGTCAAAGGTTCAGCCATCCTTCTTCCAATACTTGGACTAACCTGGGTGTTTGCTTTGTTGGTGTTCAATCGTGATGCAATTTTCTTTAAATATCTTTTCGCGATATTTAACTCTCTCCAAGGCCTAATGATATTCGTTTTTCACGTGCTGATAAATAAAAAGGTATGGTTTCAATTATCACCATACAGTCTTATTTTACACAAGGTTTGAACCTTAAAGTTTTATAAAGTTTTATATTCTCAGAATTCAACTAAGTGATAAATTAGTACCGGGCTTTTTGTATTTGATATATTGTGAGAAATAACACTCTTTAGTAACTGCGTTCACCTTAGACTGCACTGCATTCAGGCATTTGAATTTGAATTTTCGTGCGTTCCTATAGGACCCGTAGAGAATCTTGTAAATTGGATTTTCTGACACCACTTATTCAACTTATCGTGCAAAAACTAAGAATAATTAATACCTTTTTCGCATGAAGAAATTACTTGCTACTTTTTTCCAGGTTCATGACGCAATCAGCAGTGTAAAGAAATCACGTGATGCCAGAAATGCAAGGGACACCAATGCCAATGTCGGTAAGTAATAAAACGACTCATTAAAATAAATTTTAAACGGATTAGGAGGAAAGATATTGGGATAGAGAAAAAATCTGAAATACCAAGCGAGGAATGATTAACATTAATTAAGCTTTTTCAAGCAATAAACAGTTTTTTGGAAAAGGATGTCCTGCACCCTTTTTCCGAGTGCAGGACATGATAGGATACTTCAGGATGGAACTACTTCGTGTTTTAATGAAACGCGTTTTATTTAAACTCTTATTCATATAGCTGAATAGCAACTTACTAAAATTAATAGCAACTAGATATTTAAATTTTAAATTTTGTTTGAATGAACAGATGCTTCGTTATTGATTCGTTGATTTCTTTTTAATTACTTTGTGTAGCTTTAACTGTTGCAACAACTGAAACCAGCTCTACCAAATCAAAAATTCCAACAGTTTCTGTTTTCGTGGAAGAGGACAACAAATCACTGGATGGCGAAAAGTTTATTCTCACTCCTTCGAAATCTTAGTCAGTGGAAACAATTTATTACTCGATGCAAATTATATTTAGTTATGTTGACGTTTTAATATGTATGTTTCATATAACCTAATTCGCACCCTGCGCGCACGGGAAGGTCTAAATAGCGACAAACACAAACACGTTTTTCTAGTGTGTGAAAACTTTTGTTTTAGATGTCGACTACTTTCAATCTCCACGCCATTTTGGTTGCTAAATCAGCATTATTTTGAGCTCCAGTGTGTGGAATCCTTTATCGGACTTATTTGGCTGTTGATAGCTTTTAGTTGTCGATCATAAATAAATCGACAACTAAATGCCTAGTCTGTTGAGGCCCATAAACACGTTGAATACCAGCCTATCAGTGGTTTTACGGAACCACTTAGTCGCCTTCTAGTATACATAATATATGATGAGAGCATGCATTAGCTACGTTTAAGTGCCTCTCGATCATTGTTAAGATTTTTGTACGTAGAAGACAATAAATAGCATTCAATGACAATAGCAGATACTTGACGACAAATTAATAAACGTGTTTGTATATAGGGTGTATAAAAGAAGTGAAATATTCCTAAATATCGCCTTCCTGTATCATAACAATATTCTGTATAAAATATACAGAATTTTGAGTATCAGAGTCAGGCAACTGTACATGTCCTTTAAAACGATTACTGCTTTCCTGCAATCGATGTTGTTATGCAGTATTTCAAGTCCTAGATTGTTTTCTTTGTGATTTAAAATACCCTCTGGTCTCGGTTCGATGACTCTCAAGCAGTCTTTGTTTGAAGCAAAGTAGGGAAGTTTAGGCCACAAAAGATGTCTGAAAGACACCGATTTCTGCTAGTTTTCATGATATTTTTAGTTCGTTTCAACTCGAGCATCTGCCAAGGTAAGACTTCGATTGACAGACAAAGCCTCATTGCTGTCAATATCCGCTATATTTGATATAATTTACTCGCGTAACTAAATCGCATGTATATCTCATTTGTTATGTAATTATTTTTATACGTTCTTAAGCCGTATCGATCTAGCTGCCACCATTTCAATGTTGTTCTTGAATTATTAATCACGATTGACTGTTTGTAAGTATATCGTTGGTGTTCCGTTCCTGTCATATCGCTTGATACACGGGTCAATAGGGAGGGAACTGCACTCGATTTCTATGATCTTGATGCTAATTTCGAAGCATGAATAGTTAATTATTTGACACTAAAAAACGATAACTTGGTCAAATATTAAACAAATACCATTGTAATTCACATGTCGTCATTCGTTTTGAATTTGTTGTAATTCAGTTTTCATACAACACCGAATTACAACGAATTACGACATCTGAGAAACGGCAAATTATGTGATATTAAAACCAGCCATATTTAGCAACATGATTAGCTCAGCATGTGCATAAGGAGTGTCTGAGAATATTCATGCAAATTTTACGACCACTAAACGACCACCCACGGAGCCGAGATGTTTTAAAACACGTACTGTTTACAGACTACCTTCGACAGCGGCAGAAAAGACGAACAGTATTGATTTTATAAAAATATTACTGCTTACAATCCTGCGATTTTTTGTTGTTTGCTACATTTTACATATTTTTGGCGAATTGTATAGCTTACAAAGAGACCTCTTGGGTATTTGCGTCTTCACGTACCTAGAAGTTCGGTTATCAAAGCCGTCTGATAGTGTAGAAAGTTTTGTATTAGTAATTGATTTTAATCCCAAGGATATGATTTTTTATTGCATCTGTATCATGAAATCATGAAAGACGTTCGACCAGTCATAATTTGCTCAATTTGCTCTTCTCCTCGCACACCTTTCTTTCATAAAGTTTTCTCTCCAAGAAATTTGAAATTCAATCGCTGAAATTTTCTGAATTTTTTTTGCTGAAAAAAGGTTCTGCGTTATAGGAATAAACGATTGTACTTATCTATTAATTTTTTATCCCAAAATTATTGTGTAAGATCTTCTTTTCTCTATAGTGTGTTCGGATGAGAAGGAAAACTCTGATTTTTGTTACACGTACTTTCGGCCTTCCGAACCCTACCTTTCGTTGAACTGGAACGATGCAAATGATGAATGCAAAAAAATGGGCGCCCAACTTCTCCGTATTGACGGAGATGATGTTAACGATTTTATCGATTCAACATTCAGAGGGAATGGTAAATTGTGGATTGGTTTGAAGAGATGTGGTGGTAGCTCGTGGTGTTATCCTGATAATTACCCAGCAACTTATAGGAATTGGGACCAAGACGAACCAAATAATTTGGGAGGAAGTGAAGACTGTGTTGAAATGCAAAAAGATGGAAAGTGGAATGATGTGACATGTTCTAATAGGCTTCCCTTCGTATGTCAAAAACGTAAGATGCATTGATAGGAGTGAATTTTGATGGCACTTTTCTTTAAACTTAACTAATCGGAATTAATGCCATTGGTCAACTTCCGCACAAGCAATAGTTTTGTACAATTATTCTTAGCCAATTTGTGATAAGTAATTAATTCGATATTTCAATTCAAGTATAACATAGAACGAAAGATCTCTCGAAATATGCGGAGACTAAAAAAATCAACTCCCCTGCCTAACAAATGCATGAGAACAATATAATTGATATGCGGTGATCTTTATTAAAGTGCTGATTTTAACATATAACTATTTAGGAATGTTAACAAAATCGAAAATCATGGCTGAGATTGGGAAACTAAACAATCTGGTAAGATGTATTTTGATATAAACCAGTAAACGTAGTAGAGGAAGCTAATTTATAGATATTCTTCATTTTTTATTACAGACTTCTGTGGTTTTATGGCAAATACATGCTGTAGTTTCAGTTTTACTTTTAGTCTCCTTTTTGTTCAGTCTATTGCTTTCTGGAATAAGTCTTTTAGATCACAACACGAACCAATGAAACTACATTGTTCTTCACTGGCGACCTTTGTCATCTTGGCGAATACAAGGATCCAAGATGGCTGAAAGATTACTGAATTAGGGTTGCGAGCAGGGATTTAAACTAATCAGGATATTTGTTATTATTTTTCTGGCTAAGTCAATCAGAATGATTGAATGTTAAATACTTCTTGTAAAATGTTAAATAAGGTACCTTTTACGCGAAGTAGTCAATATTTATGCATTTTGATTGGTCTTAAAAGACATTCCCCTAGGTTGCAGATAGAAATAAATATTGTAGTCAAATTCCGTCATCTGCTCTTTTTCACGGTTCGACCCATGTTTCCTCTGCATAATTTCAATACTTCGACCCTGCACTAAATTGTGGAAGAAATCAGTGATACGCAATACCTATTACTGTCTTAGACAAGTGAAGCGTACTGTAAAATCCTCTAAAATCCCACTTTTTCTAAACTGGTTAATTCAATTTTTAGGTGAACGAACTTTATAATAAGAATATATCAGATGAAGTACGGAGAGAAGGTGCACAAGATATTATAAAGAATCTGACAGAGCTCACAGACCTTGATAAAGTTGTGGGAGCAGAAAACGGCGCTGACAAACAAATTCTTAGTGACACGGTTAAAATACTTCAAAAGATCGTAAACTTAAATATTTCTGATGGCAGCCTTAAAGTATTAGAACCTGCTAGCAATATATTGGATGAGAGAAATGATAAATCATGGAAAAATATTTCGGTGAGTTTGTTGTTGAAATGGATCAACAGACTAACGAAAATACTTATTATCGAAGAATAATAAGTTTGTCAGTTTGAACTTTTGTGTTTACAAAGTTCTCACAGCATCTTCTATATTGAAAGGTCATACACGCGATCCTGATTGTTCTTCATAGATTTTAGGGATACTTTTGTCGTCGTTATCACCTCGTCGAAAGTCGATTTTTCTTCTCAACTGTAAAATAATATTCTTATTCTAGGATAGAAATGTCATTCCAGATCTTGTAACAACGTTAGAAAATTACGGACTCCAATATGGAGAAGAAATAAGAAACAACACGAATGGTTCCATTAGTCAAAACGCTTCAAACGTGCAGTTACGAGTCAGATACATGGAAAACACAGGCAAATTGTCGCTTGAGGACAGACGTTCAAATTTCCCCAATGCATCCTTCATCATCTCGCCTGATGCAATCCCTAAAGAATCTGGCAGTCTTGCTGTGGTCGTTTGGTACAATACATTAAATTTCCTTCTTGGACAGAATTTTTACACCAGCAATGATTATGCGATAGTAAACAGTACGATAATCACTGCAAGTGTCCGACCTCAGTCAAAGATGTTAAAGTTTACCCAGCCTGTGCAGATCATTTGGGACACAAATGGAAAGGTGAAAAAATATTTTTTAAAGTTAAATGGTCGCCAAAATCCCTGCGAAAAAACCTCGGTTTGATATTTCACAGTACAGACCGAACAAGCGAGGTTAACAATCGGTTTATTATTTGGGTGAGCTGCTTGAGACATCCGGGATACTGGTCCAGATACAGAATATACGGACAATGGATCGCATATAGGTTTGGCGGTCCGCTCGTCAACCAATGGAAATGGAGGATTGTGAAAAGCCATATAAAATTCAACGATATATCGTCATTACTTGTAATTAACCAGATAATATGACAAATAAAATCACGGGAAATAACCTTTTTGATGAGATCCTGATTTTTAACTTTCAGAATGACGATGGAAAATGCGCATACTGGATACCAGAGTCACGTGAAAATAGATGGAAGACAGATGGTTGTATTAGAGTCGAAGACCAGTCAGGCAGAAATCGCTCGATATGTAAATGTAACCACCTCACAGCATTTGCTACAATAGACATTTCAAGAAATTTGGTAAGATTCAAATAAATGTGAAGATTGTTAATTTGAATAATGTTATTACTATTTAGTATAATTGTATTCTAAGCAAGGGGCCCTATAACTGGAGTTAAACTCTGTAGGGCTCACCAGCCAAACATGGCGAAGAGTGTAAATAAATAAATAAATAAAAATTCTCCCCTCGCCCCACCCCCTAATAATTTGTAGAATCGGCTCACGAATTTGACCAGATGCAACGATTTTCTCCCGAAGTTAAAAATTGAAAATTACATTCATACAAGATCTTCCTAGACTTTGCACTCCACTCATCACCATTGCGTATTTCTTTCCGTATATTTATCATGTAAATATATTTGTTTAAGCTAAGCAAAGCTGAGAGAAAGGCTTTGGAGGTAATATCTACCATAGGCTGTTCAATATCATTGGTTGGAGTGTTACTAACCATAGCAACATACGCTTTACTCTGGAAGAGTCTTCATAAGAAAGTCAAGACCAATATTCCATCCCAGGTCCTCTTAAACCTCTGTGTTGCGATTGGATTGACGGATATATTTGCTATCATAGCTGGACCAGCGCAGGAAAATGAGGTTCTTTTAGTTCTATATATTTTTTTTTCATTTGGCCTTTTTGCATGCAGGCAATGTTAACTATCATTCACCAATCCTGTTTTTTATTCACTTTTAGACATTTTGCATAGTTATCTCCATACTACTTTATTTCTTCATACTCGCTATTTTTGGCTGGATGTTTTGCGAAGGAATCATCATTTATTTACAACTCGTAAACGTGTACTCGGGCTTGGCTTTGGGAGGTAAACACCTGAAAGCGTTCTACGTGATTGGTTGGGGTAAGCTGTAGTTTCCAATTTTTTTAAAAATCCTATTCATTGGTAGAAGTATTTTACGCAATCTCGGTCAAAGGTGTCGGAAAGTCTAGAGGTGGGCGGAAACTGTTTTCCTCAATACTTTTGCTCAATAATGCCATTAGTTATTCTTGTATAGGAGTTCCGGTTGTCCTTGTCCCTATATTAGTCGGTGCAAATGATCGAAAAGATTTTATAACCGATCGTGCCTGCTGGTGCCGTGGTGATGGTGCGTTGTTTTGGACATTTGTCTGTACAATAATCGTGGTCTTACTGGTGAGTGTAAGAGCCAATTCTCCACACAGTATATTCCTGATAAAAGACGATTAAAAGAAAGTCATCGTTTAGGAATCCATGCTTTTCACAGATCTTATTAAATGCACAATGCTGCTTTATTGGTGATATAATTCAATCTTATCGCGTGGTCAAACAAAATGTAACAAAACTGTACAACACAATGAAGATTGGTATTTTGGATACTGCTCCTATACGGAACCAAACGTGAACTGTATTAAAAGATGTTCGACAATTATTTTCTTGAATACATGCATGCTTGAGAAATTGTGTCAGAATTAGATGCCAGTGATATCATAATGGTGCACGTTTTATTACCGCTATGCAAGTCGTTAGTCATTCATTTCCGAAGCATAAAAATACAAATTTTCCTATGCGGAAAGAGTGAACTGGGCGAATTATTCGGTCCAAAACCATCCCAAAATTTATCGCCGAATGTTCAACAATACGAAAAATATCACCGTCGGAAGTTAAATTTTATATAGGCTACTAATATTGCCGGGGAAAAGCGTTACCGCGTTCCAAAGTGAGCCAAATCTGCATCACTATATTTTTCACAATATTTCACAACCAAAATTTTATGGATTTTTTTTCCATCTGTACTGATGAATATTCCTTGTTTTAAATTAATCTGAACAGGAAATTGGTCCATTGACACAACTAATACTCTCTAAGTATGATCCGTCCCTAATAAATACAGGTATTCCCTGTTTCTTTTAAAATGCGATGGTAACAATTCTGGATACCATTTACGTCCTATTAATGATAGTTTTTTTCTCTAGATCAACTTGGTTATTTTCGTTTTGGCGTTAAGAAATGCTTTATCCTCCGGCCAAATAAGAACCGCTCATTCAGAAGCTGACACAAAGCTGAGAAAAGCAAAAATTGGCGTCAAAGGTTCAGCCATCCTTCTTCCAATACTTGGACTAACCTGGGTGTTTGCTTTGTTGGTGTTCAATCGTGATGCAATTTTCTTTAAATATCTTTTCGCGATATTTAACTCTCTCCAAGGCCTAATGATATTCGTTTTTCACGTGCTGATAAATAAAAAGGTATGATTTGAATTATCACCATACAGTCATATTTTACACCAGGTTTGAACCTTAAAGTTTTATATACTCAGAACTCAAATCAATGATAAACTAGTACCAGGCTTTTTGTATTCCATACAACTATGATAAATAACATTCTTTAGTAACTGCATTCACCTTATATAGACTGAACTTTATTCAGGCTTTTGAATTTGAATTTTCGTGTTCCCCATAGGACCCGTAGAAAATCTTGTGAGTTGGATTTTCTGAAACCACTTATCTAACTTATCGTGCAAAAACTAAAAATAATTTATACCTTTTTCGCATGAAGAAATTACTTGCTACTTTTTTCCAGATTCATGACGCAATTAGCAGTGTAAAGAAAGCCAGAAATGCAAGAGACACCAATGCCAATGTCGGTAAGTAATAAAACGACCCATTAAAGTAAATTTAAATGAACTAAGAAGAAAGATATTGGGATAAGAGAAAAAATCTGAAATACAAAGAGAAGAATAAGTAACATTAATTAAGCTTTTTCGGGCAATAAACAGTTTTTTGGATAACGGGATAACAGGTTTTTTGAGTGCAGGACATGATAGGATACTTCAGGATGGAACTACTTCGTGTTTTAATGAAACGCGTTTTATTTAAACTCCTTTTCATATATAGCTGAATAGCAACTTGCTAAAATTAATTACAACTATAGACAGTTAAATTTTAAATTTTGTTTCAATAGATGTATTAATGAATGAACAGATGCTTCGTTATAGATTCGGTCATTTCTTTCTCATTACTTTGTGTAGCTTTAACTGTTGCAACAACTGAAACCAGCCCTACCAAATCAAAAATTCCAACAGTTTCTGTTTTCGTGGAACAGGACAACAAATCACTGGATGGCGAAAAGTTTATTCTCACTCCTTTAAAATCTTAGTCAGTGGAAACAATTTATTACTCGATGCACATTTTATATAGTTATGTTGATGTTTTAATATGTATGTTTCATATAACCTAATTCGCACCCTGCGCGCACAGGAAGGTCTAAATAGCGACAAGCACAAACGATTGATCTTCATGAATATTCAGTGTTGTGATTTTTTATGCACCCAGTAGTAAAAGATTTTCTCTAAGCAAGACTAAACGTTAATTTTACAATTTAACCAGTTATAACAAACCCTATTTGAATGTTTACATTTGTCGATCGGCCAGGCTAGCTGTGTAAAAATTGTTTTTCAAAGTGGTTTAACAAACTTTATAGGCAATGAGCAGTATAGCTATAAACCAAAGTTACAGCCTAGGCGATAATAATTTCTCGAAGCAATGAAACATTTAGCCTTGATATTGGGTCACTGCATTCCCAATCATGCCATGGTGTATAAAAAGAGAAGAAAATAATAATATTGAGAGTGAATTTCCGAAAGCCCTTTTCGCCTTCTCGAGTATTTACATTAACTTAAAGATAGGTTAGCTACGTTAATGAGTGTCAAGTTTATTGTATAACTAAAAAAAAGTTAATAATTTTATACAGTGGAATGAAACGTGACACGTTTTAAAACTAAATCTGAAAAGCTGCGTTGTATTTTAAAGTACAGCTGTACCAACTCTCAGTCTCTCAGAAGAACAATTAAGTAATTTTCGAACCAATAACCGCCGGTTTTCCTGCAACACAATTATGTCGAGTCCTTTGTGGTTTTAGTGCGTTTAAGATTTTATTGCATAGAAATCCATTAGTCTACGAAGAAGCTGTGCAAGAAAGCCCTATCACAAAGCACAAAAAATGCGTTTGGAAAGATGCGTCTGCCAAGGTAGGATGTTAGTCAGCTGTTAAAATAAACAAATATGTTTGATATAGTACGCGCTAGATTTGACATAAGAATGGCAATAAAGATGCAATACATTATGGCGTGATAACAAATAAACAGAGAACATTTGACGTTTTTCTTCATTTCGAAACTAGTACAAGCTATATCTTGAAGTTAAGGAGATGTTTATAGACACATAGACAGCAAAATATTGTTAGCTGTTTCTTCAAAATAAATGTCACGTGTGGACGGTGATCTGCAATACTTTAATATAGAATTTACGATATTTGTAAACATATTCGCTGAGAATTTGCTTTTATCCGTTAAATTATACCCGAATCTGGACACATGAAACTTTTTAAAATAGAAACTAAACACTAATTTAGTTTTTTTAGTTTTTTTAGCAATATAGTATGAAATGATGTTTTAACAGATCATTTAGTCTGCTCCCCTTCCACTCCATGGCGGAAAAAAAACTTTCAATAGTTAAATGTGCGACCTGTGAAATAAGCCTTGACTTCATTGACCGTAAACAATCGCACCGTGACCATTAGCTTCACCTGGTAATTATGGTAATGTGAATCCATACCTGTGATATTTTAGCGTCAACACAAAATGATTGATATTAGGTTAAAGCCACGAATATAAGGTACCGTTATGTGCCTCTTAGACAAGAACATAAAATTAGTCAAAATAAACTCATTGACATCATTAATAATTTACATAAATTATCAATCCTTCGAAAAAAGGTTTAATAAAATGAGATAGTGTCGTAAATTGCCACAAGTTCTGTTGGTCTAGTGGGGAGGCAATGTTCTCCCTGGTTTCAAACCGAGGGCTGGAATCCTAACATAACCGTTTTTCATTATGAACTTCCTGAAAAACAAAGTAAATTAAATAACCACAGCCATTCAGCACAAGATCTTGTAGTCTAGTGGAGAAAACTATGGTCCACGATTGGTACATCGATGGTTCGAATCCTGCCATAACCCTTTTTCATTATGAACTTCGTGAAAAGGTTAGAGTAAATTAAATAACCACAGGCGTCCTGTTCAAGATCTTGTAATCCAGTGGAGAAGACAATGGTCTCCCAAGTGGTAAATCGATGGTTCGAATCCTACCATAACCGTTTTTCATTATGAATTTCATGAAAAGGTAAAGTAAATGAAATAACCATAGCCGTTTAGCAAAAGAACTTATAGTCTACTGGTCAAGATGTTAGTCCCATGTGGCGACAGTCAAAGGTTCGAATCTCGTTTTAGATGAAAATTTTCGTTATTAATAAAATATGGTATGGTTATGGTGAATAAGTTGGTGTAGGCTTGCAACAATCACCAGTTAGCCTTGTGGTAAAATCGTGGACTATCAAGCACAAGATCGAGGTACCAAGAACAGTATGGTATGTTTCTCATGGCGGTGGAAAGAAAAAAAAAAAAAAAATGGTGGGTATGTGGCTCGGTGGAGGTTTGTACTCGGTTAATCTTTGCAAATCAAAGTTAATCTTTAGGGAAATCTAGGGAAATCAGGGGATAGATATGGTGAATGAGGGGTATATGAGTACAAAAAGACTTAGTAATTGGGCGGCCCCAGGGCAAGGGGGAGGGTATATGTGAGAAAACAGTATATAAAATGTTTAAGTCTTTTTGTACTCATTTAAACCTCTTTACCCCTATTTATCCTCCTATTTACTCCTATCTATCCCTACTTTTTCCTATCCTCACATATCCCCAACTATCCCCTAACACAATTAAATGTTTGAAGAAAGCTTGCTTTGAAAGTCAGGAAAGCCGGGGGAAAGAGAACCCCCCTCAGTCTACTCCTCGCCCAAGGCGAGGGCATATTCGCCCTCTCGCACTACTCCTCTCACACTCACAAATTCTCACTTTATTACCTTGTTCTTTTTCGGTTTATCCAGGGCTTGAACCATTGACTATATACTTCGCAGATCATCGTCTTCACCACTACACCGCCAGTTTTTGTGGTGAAAGCTTGCAGTTTTTTATTTTACTGAATCCTTTTTTGGAAGGATCTTTGATGAAATAGAAGAAAAAAACATTCCCATCTTGGACTGGAACCTCCGCCTTTAAACTCGTAGAGCACTGCTTTCACCAGTAGACCGCATGAACTCGCGGTGAAAGGCGATACCTTTTTATATTACTAAATACATTTTGGGTATGGATCTCAAATGAAACTAACAATTTAAATGAGTAAATGAGCTTTAATGTTCATGATTTTTTTCTCGTCTAAAACGCACAAAACTGTATCTTATTCTTGACTTGTAACTTAAATGTCGCTAAAATATCACATACAGTTATTAAGCGCTTAAATCACTATTTTATTAAGAGTAAGTTAGTTATATGCGGCCGAAGTGAAGCAAATGGTTACGGTGCAATTGTTTTGTATTTTTAATGACTGAAGTCAAAGTAAAGTACAAGAATTAACTATGGTCTATGCATTTCAAAAAAGGTTTTCAAAAAAAAAGTAGAAGAAATAAGAATGTATTTCAATGTGTATGACACGTATAATCTGAGCAACAAGCATGCACCTCGTACTCTCGTAGATTACATCTGAAATCGCAATTGAAGCAAATATCCAGTTAAACAGAAATGAACTTATTATCTCAAGACTCTGTTGTATAAAGAGTCGAAATACCAGCTTGTCTAGCAGATTCGTCCAATATAAAATACGCTAAGAAAAAAGACGTTCAGTTTAAAAGCGCAATTTCCGCATTGAAAACCGCGGTAACAAACAAACAAACAGCAGCTCTACAATATTAGGGCAACGATTCATAATTATTGATTGAAACTCATCAAAGACGGGAAACTCATCGAAGACGGGAAACTCGTCTGATGTGAACCCTACAGACGGGTTTCTCGTCCGAATTTTCCCGTCTAACTTTGCCGTCTTAACAGACGGATAAGTTTGGACTGGATCCCGTCTGGAAGAGAATCTCGTTTTAAATTTGCATGCATTTAGACAGATAAAACAGACAAATATGTAAAATATCAGCGCGGTCAAGGACAAAACATTATTATTATCGTAATGATTACTCATTACCCAACCCATCATACGTATAAATTTATCCACATCCCAATTCATATTCAGACGGGTTTTTACCTCATCTTGTCCAAGATGAGTTTTCGGTCCCTAATATGAATTCTGTTATTCTTAATTCTTGTACTTTTTTTCATTTAAACCTATTTTGAAATGCATTTTTAATTCTTGTACTTTATGTTGACTTCACTTTATTAAAACTACAAAACAATTGCACCGTAACCATTAGCTTCACTTCGTCTGCATATAGATAACTTACTCTGAAGTTAGCGCTTTAAGGCACTTCATAACTGTATGTGGTATTTTAGCGATATTTAAGTTACAAGCCACACAGTTGTGTGCGTTTAAGACGAGAACAAATATCATGAACATTAAAATAACTCATCTAAATTCTTAGTTTCATTTGAGATCCATACCCAGAATGTATTCAGTAATATAAAAAGGTATCGCCTTTCACCGCGAGTGCATGCGGTCTACTGGTGAAAGCAATGCTCTACGAGTTTAAAGGTGGAGGTTCGATTCCCAGATGGGAATGTTTTTTTCTTCTATTTCATCAAAGATCCTTCCAAAAAAGGATTCAGTAAAATAAAAAACTGTAGGCTTTCACCACAAGAACTGGCGTTGTAGTGGTCAAGACGATGATCTGCGATGTACACAGTCGATGGTTCAAGCCCTGGATAAACCGAAAAAGATCAACAAGGTAATAAAGTGAGAATTTGTGAGTGTGAGAGGAGTAGTGCGAGAGGGCGAATATGCCCTCGCCTTGGGCGAGGAGTAGACTGAGGGGGGTTCTCTTTCCCCCGGCTTTCCTGACTTTCAAAGCAAGCTTTCTTCAAACATTTAATTGTGTTAGGGGATAGTTGGGGATATGTGAGGATAGGAAAAAGTAGGGATAGATAGGTGTAAATAGGAGGATAAATAGGGGTAAAGAGGTTTAAATGAGTACAAAAAGACTTAAACATTTTATATACTGTTTTCTCACATATACCCTCCCCCTTGCCCCGGGAGCCTCGACCGCCCAATTACTAAGTCTTTTTGTACTCATATACCCCTCATTCACCATATCTATCCCCTGATTTCCCTAAATTTCCCTAAAGATTAACTTTGATTTGCAAAGATTAACCGAGTACAAACCTCCACCGAACCACATACCTACCATTTTTTTCTTTTTTTTTCTTTCCACCGCCATGAGAAACATACCATACTGTTCTTGGTACCTCGATCTTGTGCTTGATAATCCACGATTTTACCACAAGGCTAACTGGTGATTGTTGGAAGCCTACACCAACTTATTCACCATAGCCTTACCATATTTTATTAATAACGAAAATTTTCATCTAAAACGAGATTCGAACCTTTGACTGTCGACACATGGGACAAACATCTTGACCACTAGACTACAAGATATTCTGCTAAACGGCTGTGGTTATTTCATTTACTTTATCCTTTCCACGAAATTCGTAATAAAAACGGTTATGGTAGGATTCGAACCATCGATTCACGACTTGGTAGACAATAATCTTCGCCACTAGACCCACTGGATCTTTTGTTGAACGACTATGGTTACTTTATTTACTTTATCCTTTCTTCGAAGAATATAATGAAAAACAGGTACACACGGATTCGAACCATCGACTTACCACCTGGGAGGCCATTGTCTATGCCACTGCACTATGAGATCTTGGGCTGAACTGCTATGGTTATTTAATTTACTTTATCCTTTTCACGAAGTTCGTAATGAAAAACGGTTATGGTAGGATTCGAACCATCGATATACCAATTGAGGGACCATTGTCTTCTCGACTAGACTTACAATATCTTGTGCTGAACGGTTGTGTTTATTTAATTTACTTTACGTGTTTCAGGTAGTTCATAGTGAAAATGGTTATGGTAGGATTCGAACCCTTAGTTTGGAACCCGGGAGAACATTGCCTCACCACTAGACCAGCGGAACTTGAGGTGAATTACGACACTATCTCATTTTATTAAACCTTTTTTCGAAGGATTGATAATTTATGGAAATTATTTATGATGTCAATCAGTTTATTTTGACTCATTTATGTTCTTATCTAAAAGGCACATAACTGTACCTTATATTCGTAGCTTTAATCTAATATCAATACTTTTCTGTTGAGGCTAAAAGATCACAGGTGCAAAGGATCCCTTGAGCAAAGGAGCAATACCTTACCATAAGCTAGTTATAATTATGTGGCCCAGGCGAAGCTAATGGTCACGGTATGATTGTT